ATTACATCTTTAAAGGTTTAATTTCAATTTTGAATAATGGTAAATTTTTCCAATTGAAAAATATATTGATTAATTTTTTTAAAATATTTGTTAGATCAACAAGAAATATTATTGTAGAAATAAATTCTTAATCTAATTAAGCTAATAAAGGTTATGCCTGTATATTGCATCATCATTTATAGCAGCAAAGTACAGACAAAGTTCACATCATTTGAATATGACAGCCACCAAATGTTAAATGAGAATATTTGCATAATAATTGGTTACTTACATTGATTTTAAAATATTCTGCCTTTTAGGTGATCTTTAATTTATGTGACAATGATTTGATGACATGAATGAATTTTAATCACTTTTATAGCCAGTCGTATTAGATACACCATCACTTCCAAAATGATAATTATTTGATTTAGAAAGCGGTCTTAAAGTAGAAGTTTTTGAATGGATAAAATGGAACGAATTTGACCTTATCGAGTATGAAAACTCGGGATTATATAGCACAGTTTATTCGGCGTATTGGATTGACGGACCTATTTTATTGTGGGAAAAAACCATGGACTGTTACATAAGAAATGGACCGATCAAGGTTGCAATTAAAAGATTCAACAATTCACAAAATATATCTCGCGAATTTATCGATCGTGTAATTATTCCAGTTAATTAATTAATTAATAATGTAAATCGATTAATTAATAAATCATTTTTTGTTGATACAATTAATTTAGTTGTATAAATTACATAGTTGTGTACGAAGCAATTATGTCATTGACTGTTTTGGAATTACACGCGACAACACCTCATGTTTTTGTCTTGTGATGAAATATTATGAAAACGGGAATCTTTATCAATTTCTTGACGAATCGAAAGGTGTACTTTGTTGGCGCGACATTGTTGAAATACTTTGGTCAATATCCAATGGTCTGGACCATATTCACCAAGAAAAATTATTCCACACGAATCTCCATGGAGGAAATATCTTAGTAGACAATGAAAATGACTTTATATACACGTGCATTAGCGACGTTGGATTAAATATTCCGGGAGGAAAAGTAGAGGACGAAAACGACAATAACATATATGGTGTACTTCCTTATATAGCACCCGAGGTTTTATTAGATCGTTGTTATACTTACGAATCGGATATTTACAGTTTTGGAATTTTGATGTGGACATTAGGTGCAGGGATTAAACCCTTTCATAATGTGGCACATAACGAAGAGCTAGCGCAAAAAATAATAGACGGAAAAAGGCCAAAGATAAGCAAAGAAGCGCCTAAGAGTTATAACGATCTTATGCAGCAATGTTGGGATCATGATCCTTCAAAAAGACCAACAGCTTCGAAATTATATGAAACAATTGGATCATGGTTTACAAAGATTTGTAATGATCCAACCCCTACCGAAATTTCTATTGAATTTGATAAAGCAGAAGGAATAAAATTTTCCAAACTCGAAAAATATGCATTCCAAAGACAAAAAATTCATAACGAAGCTATTTACACAAGTCGTTTACTAAATTTCCCAGGGCTTCGGAGGCAACAGTCTTAAAATTTATTTACATAGTGATTCTTTCAACTTCGATATCAAAAAAAAACATCTCGAACATTTATTTAATTTTTAATTTATTTAATTTTTAATTTATTTTAATTTTTAATTTTTTTAATTTTAATTTTTTTAATTTCGTTTTATTTAATTTCCCGCGCATAATATAATCAATCGCCAATTCCAATATAATAATAAGAATTATGATTTTCATAAGTTTCAAAAAAAAGGTTATTAATATTATTATTACTTCAAA